GTTTTGATATATAAGTTGTTCGGGTTTTTCATCTAAAAAAAGCAACATTAATTTTTTGACGACCTAATATTTGCCAGGTTTGACCTGAAAGTTTTCATTTTAGCCTGTCACTGTATAGAACTATGAACCTAGATATATATCATTATTACATAAGAAGCTGTTAGGCTGTGGTTAGCGTAGACCAAGTCCACTGAGAACTTAGTTGTATGTTTTCTAATCACGTATAGAGGTTTCTATCTGTAGTAAATATTATTGTTTCATTAGAGAACGTTTAGTGTTTTCCTTCATATTAAGTTTTTTCAGTTGTCTTTAATGATTAAGAAATATTGATAGTTACTGTACAAACCAATGTATTTTACTTGCAACCTACCAGTTACTTAGAAAGGGGATGTACAATGAGTACGAATGGATGGATAGAGACATTTTATTCACAGTACACCAATAACCTAATGTAGTCTTTATAGGACTTGTGTTTTTGTTTTGTATAAAAAAAAGTTATGTTAATCTTGTTAAGAAACCTTGCAGTACACATTTTGTTATCAAATGGTTTGTTTGAAAGCTGCTTACTTAAGTTGGATGTAGGGAAGGGTTACTTTATGTTGGTCAGCTGATGATTAAAGATTTGTATGTATAGTATGTCATGAAATATAGTTATCTAATTCTGTATGCCTTCTGCTAGGTGAGGTTGCATGGGAATGTTACTTTGTACATGGACTTCAACAGGATCTTATTGAAGATTTGGCTCTCTCTCGTGGTCTTCAGGTGGACTGGAATGTGTTCAATAAAAAGATGAAGGAAGAGCAGGTTGTAACTAATTCTATTGATGAATGTCATTATAATATTTTCTTATATTTGTTATGGTATCCTCAACAGATTCAAAAATAACTTCTTGTTTTCTGGGTAAAGTCTGTGATATTTAAATTATCTATGTTTGTAAATAATATTTCGCTGTACCTAAATACCTAATACTGTTTTTTGTATTTTTCAAGAATCATGTAAACTGATATGTACTATCTAAAGTACCAAGTTATTAAATTATGTGTCAAGAATCATATAAACTGATATATGCTATCTGAAGTGCAAAGTTATGGAATTGTGTGTCGAAAATAATATATACTGATATGTACATATGAATTACCAAGTTCTTGAATTATATGTAAAATGTTTTTATACTTATTTCACAATAGCAAAATCTATATGTAAAATATAATGATACCATGAAAATGTAAACATAAATACTGTAAACAATTTTGATATTTGAGTTGTATGAGCTTCAATATTTTCATATTGTACAAAGGATCTTTATCGTGTTTACTAATCTTTGTCAATAGGTATTTAAAGGTAGCATTTTCTAGTCATACGACCATATCATAAACTGTTAATTTCAAAGGAAAACATTTTATTTCAGAACAAAAGAACAGCTGTTGATGAGAAACCTCAAGGCCACCTACCAGCTGTCTCTTTGCACCTTGTGGATATGTTGAACCATCGTGGAATTCTTCCTACTGATGATATGGATAAATATGAGTATTATTCTCATAATGAACAGTATGGTAAATGTTTGTCAATCTTAACTGATTGTGCTTAAAATATAACTGAATATGAATATTGTTCTGATAAAACGTGGGTTGGTATGTTTTATGGTTTACCTTAATACTGTCTGTGCTTACTTTAAAACTGAACATGAATATTTGTCTTACATATACATGCCAGGCTTTGATGTATATATGGGCCAGATTCTGTACAGTAGGTGTTTATGACTTGTTGGCAATAAACAGCACACAGTCCACTTGTTTTAAAATAATATATTAAAACAAGTCAAATATAATATATATATACACTGTTGGTTATCACAGTTGTATCCACAGCTTTAAATAATTGTCTGTTTTTCATCAAAATCTACACAGACTGGCTCAGTTACTTTAGAACATAATTTGACAAGATGTATTATTTTTTATGCTCTGTTATTACAATACAGTCAGTGATAATTTCACTTTAAAATTTCTACTGTGCTCTTTATGGCTAAACTCACAATTATTCAGTCTAGATGTAGCTATCTGTCTATCTATCTATTTTCTTGAACTACATTTTGTACATGTGTTTATAGATTGACGAAGGCCTAGAACATTCCAGTATGTGATATTATGAATCAATAAAAACTAAATTGAAGCTTATAAGTTTCTAGTAATGGGAAGCAATAATACAATAAGCACCAGTTGAATTACACATCGTGTGATTTGTACACAGTTATGTAACCAAACCTGAGATAAACTAGCACCTTCTAAAAATAGCTAAATTTAACACCCATGCTATACTTAAACTATCTAAGTCTTGACACTCACATTAACCTAAACAGTCATGCATATCTATAGTACAGTAATGCAACTACATATCATAATAAGTATGTAGTTGCATATATTAAAAATATAAGTAAGTGCAACTATTTTTCACATAATAATAGTGCAATTTAGATAAATTCATAATTTTGAATAATTAACAGCATATTCACACACACTGAAGAAACTACAAGATCATAATTTGGTTGTTAGTTGCATAACCAAAATCTCTTCTTGACAGTTTGGATATTTTCATGGTATCATTAAATATTTGAAGAGATTTTATGAATTTTAGCCTTAAGCCACCTTTTCTTCCTGAAATTACAGTGAGATGAAAATCAGATTCTACTTGCATTGTTTGTAAGCCTGCTTGATGTGAATGTGAACTATCATATTGAATAATATTTTTCAATGTATTATTTCAATTATTTGTTGGAGATTTTATTTCATTATAATATAATGTAATATGCTACAAAAAGTTGGTAATATGCTAGATATACAATCTACAAGTGCTGTTTTAGCCATTGCATTAGATTGGATGTTGAAGATACAATATACAAGACTGTTTTAGTTATCCCTTTCACCTGAGGCATTTGTTTTTGTGCATGTCACGAGGTTTTAGCGAGTTGCTTTCTTTTCATGGTTTTCCCCAAAAAATATAGCATAAAAATGTAGCTAATAATCCATATTTTAATAGTATATAGGTTTTAATTTCTTACTTTTGTAAGGCAATATTAAAAAAATGTAGAATTCCCCTACAGTGAGAATTGTAACATTCACCCTCTAGACATCCCCCTCTTCTCTAATTTATTTACCACCCCTCCAAGAAGTACGAAATTTTTATATAGCCTTCAGTCTTATTTGGTTACAGAACTATGAAATGCCATGCCCATCTGTCACATCCTCTCTTTCAGAAACTTCCAATAGTTCTTTAAGCTGTTCATTACTATATTATTTATAACCAATAGAAAGCCAAGGTTCTCATCTATCGAATGTTTTCTGTAAAATTAATTGTCTATTTCGTTTTCAGTTCAATATGCTGTTCTAATCATTATATTTTACTGTATTAGGAATACAATATGTTGTTCTAATCATTATATTTTACTGTATTAGGAATACAATATGGTGTTCTAATCATTATATTTTACTGTAGTAGAATACAATATGCTGTTCTAATCATTATATTTTACTGTCTAAGGAATACAATATACTGTTCTAATCATTATATTTTAATGTATTAGGAGTACGATATAATGTTCTAATCATTATAGTTTGCTGTATTAGGAATACAATATGCTGTACTACTCATTATATTTTACTGTATTAGGAATACAATATGCTGTTCTAATCATTAGAATGTACTGTACTGGGAATACAATATGCTGTTTTAATCATTAGAATGTACTGTACTAGGAATACAATATGCTGTTCTAATCATTACAATGTACTGTACTGGGAATACAATATGCTGTTCTAATCATTAAAATGTACTGTACTAGGAATACAATATTATGTTTTAATCAAGTACTGTTGTAGTCATAAGGTTATATTCTACCAATAATATAGGATACAAGTGCCTTTTCACTTAAACACTTTTTTTTTAGATTAAGATTTTAATGAAAGCTTAATTAACTTTAATACAACATTTAATCTTGTTTTTAATGAATCTTTCTGCTTATGTCAGAATTTCTTCCCGTAAAGACTGAACTTTTAGCCATTGTTAAAGATAACATTTTGGTATCTGAGACACCATCTGGAAGCACCTGTCAGTTAGTGGTACGCAAAACCAACTTCTATCATGAAGCTGGAGGACAAATGTGTGATCAGGGGAGGATTCTGGGGGAGGTATTTTGCAACTTTCATTCCTTAACACTGATTATAACAAAACTGTCTGTTGTAATGAGAACCACTGAATGATACTCGGAAAAGTCATTTGTCACTTTGATCTGTATCATTATTAGAGGCTATTTATAAGTTTCTGTTTCTAAGTTAACAACCAGAGGTGAGTACTAAACAATGTTAGTTGTGAATTTCATTTATCAAAATGTGTGTCAATATATTTTATACCTTATTTTTCAAACATTTTAATTTTTACTTGGATATTTGCTTTTAGAAAGGTATCCCCTTAAACAATTTCTCGTGATTTATTATGCTAGATAAAACATAATTTAAAATTAAAACTTGGAAATTTGCTGTTATAGGTACCTCATGATGTGATGATTTAATATGCTAATTAAAACATAATTTAACATTTAATAAAACTTGTATCTTTACCATTAGAGGTACCTTGTTATGTGATTTCTGATGATTTAATATGTCCTGTTGAAATACGACTTGTCAAAGTTAATAATATGATCAACATGATAAATGTATTTCCTTTGTTATAAGAAATTATTTTACCTATTTGATAAAATAGAAATAGGTAAATCACAAGAAAAGTTACATGATAATCCAAGCTCTTTATTAAGGTATACCTTCTTTTTTATTCCTGTAAAATAATGTTTCATCTTGAAATAGCATTGTAAGTTTTTGTAATATTGTTTGTTATATGCAATTTTGTTGTTTTTTATGATATTTACATTTACATGAAAAACTGCCACAGTTACAGTCTCCATTTTTTAAAAGAGTTTTATCATTTTATATTTTAGTTGAAAGATGATATTGCAGTATGATAGGAAAAGAAATGTTTTTGTGTCGATTGAGATCAGGTTGAGAATCGTTAGGCTTGGTCATTTTGCACTACACTGTATCAAGTTTCATTTTGCCAACAAAGTTGATGTTTGTTAGGACTTATTGGGATAAGTAACTGCTTAAATGGGCAACTATCTTTTATGGAAATTTTACTCAAACAAATGTTAAAAATTGTTTAACCTGTAAGGTGTAATGGAGCATGTGGTTTAACCTGTAAGGTGTAAATGGCATGTGGTTTAACATGTAAGGTGTAATGAGGCACATGATTTAATGTATAAAGTTTAATGGAGCACATGGTTTAACCTGTAAGGTGTTATGGAGCACATGGTGTAACCTGTAAGGTGTAATGTAGCACATAGTTTGAACTATAAGGTGTAATGGAGCACATAGCTTAACCTGTAAGGTGTAATGGAGCACATGATTTAACCTGTAAGGTGTAATGGAGTGCATGGTGTAACCTGTAAGGAGTAATGGAGTACATAGTTTAACCTGTAAGGTGTAATGGAGCACAATTTAACCTGTAAGGTGTAATGGACCACATGGTGTAACCTGTAAGGTGTAATGGAGCACATGGTTTAACCTGTAAGGAGTAATGGAGCACATGGTTTAACCTGTAAGGAGTAATGGAGCACATGGTTTAACTTGTAAGGAGTAATGGAGCACATGGTGTAACATGTATGGTGTAATGGAGCACATGGTGTAACATGTATGGTGTAATGGAGCACCTAGTTTTACCTGTAAGGAGTAACAGAGCACATAGTTTAACCTGTAAGGTGTAATGGAGCACAATTTAACCTGTAAGGTGTAATGGACCACATGGTGTAACCTGTAAGGTGTAATGGAGCACATGGTTTAACCTGTAAGGAGTAATGGAGCTCATGGTTTAACCTGTAAGGAGTAATGGAGCACATGGTTTAACTTGTAAGGAGTAATGGAGCACATGGTGTAACATGTATGGTGTAATGGAGCACATGGTGTAACATGTATGGTGTAATGGAGCACATAGTTTTACCTGTAAGGAGTAACAGAGCACATGATATAACTTGTAAGGTGTAATGGAGCACATGGTTTAAACTGTAAGGTGTAATGAAGCACATGGTGTAACCTTTAAGTAAACATCCTGAAATTGAAAGAATTATATTTTTAAACATAATATTCCTTTATGAAAGTTTAAGAAAATGACTGAAGTATAAAAACAATGAACATTATTATCTTCTGAAACACACACACTTCACAGCTTTAGTTTTGTAAATAAATAATACTATTCTCATATTAAACTGCTAAAATATTTAAGCTTTTACCATGTTTGTCATTTTTATGTCATGTACACAGTTCATGTGAAACAGTGTTCTTTCTAACCTCAATAATGAAATTTCTGTTCCAGAATTTTTCATTTAAAGTGAAAAATGTGTTTGCTTTAAAAGGATATGTCTTTCATGAGGGAGAAGTAGAGTTTGGGTGTTTACAAGAAGGTGCCCCAGTATGGATGGAAATTGATAAAGTAAGCATAAGACCTACAAAGTAAACGTAAGGCCTACAAAGTAAGCATTAAGAAGTACAAAATTAGCAGAATACCTACAAAGTAAGCAGAAGAAGTACAAAATTAGCAGAATATCTACAAAGTAAGCAGAAGAAGTACAAAATTAGCAGAATACCTACAAAGTAAGCAGAAGAAGTACAAAATTAGCAGAATACCTACAAAGTAAGCATAAGAAGTAGAAAGTAAGCAGAATACCTACAAAGTAAGCATAAGACCTACAAAGTAAGCATAAGAAGTACAAAGTAAGTGTAAGACCTACAAAGTAAGTTTAAGAAATACAAAATAAGCATAAGACCTACAAGGTAAGTAAAAAACCTACAAAGTAAATATAAGAAGAATTAAGGAACCATAAAAAGTATGACAAAGTAAGCATAAGAACTACAGATCTTACTTGTTTTTCTTACTAAAGCAACACCTGCTATTTGACATCTTGGGGTGTAGTAATCTCTATAATTTTGACTTTCATTTTTATTGATTTGGATACAACAATACTGTGGACAGTGGGCATTTTATAGTTAACATTAACTTACTATGATATTCATCAAACCATAAAAGAAATTATTCACATAATAACTCCAAACTTTAGTTTTAGCAGTACAATTGTTATCTTAGTGAAAAATGTAGTGTGATCTATCATTGAAAGTTGTTTATTTCCCTCTTCTCATAAAAATGCCCACGTTCAACACAGAAAATAGATTTCATATCATTAGATCAGGTATATAGAAATAAATAAAAACGATTTGCATTTTCTTTTTAAATCATAAGCATAGTGTTACCTAAAGAATACAGAAACACTCCAGTCTCTCTTTATATCACAAGTTTAGTGTTACTTTTAGTGTACAGAAATATTCCATGCTCTCTTTATATCACAAGTTTAGCATTACTTTTAGAGTACAGAAACACTCCAGTCTCTCTTTAAATCACAAGTTTAGTGTTACTTTTAGTGTACAGAAATATTCCATGCTCTCTTTATATCACAAGTTTAGCATTACTTTTAGAGTACAGAAACACTCCAGTCTCTCTTTAAATCACAAGTTTAGTGTTACCTGTGGAGTAAAGAAACATTCCATGCTCTCTCTGTAGGACAGGTTTAGTGGCTGTATTGATTTCAACTGTGATGTTAACCTTTAGGATGCTACATGGAACCATGTTAAGTATGAAATATTATGTTGAATTTGACTGGAAGGTTATATTCTAAAACATACTTACCTCTGCTGCCACTTCTAGCTATTACTTGACCATCAGAGTTTCTTCTTTGCCCATCTAAGCATTAGTCTGATTTTTTCTTGCTTTCTCCAGTCCTTTATACTCCACTCAATTGCCCTAGGTGATAATTGTCTTGTGATACTTTCCACCTACATCAATGCACCATCTATGCTGGTACTGTATATAAGCACCTCATTCAGATAATTTTGTCACTTTTTCTTGATAAAGCAGCACTAACGGGTTTCTCAGTATTACAGTCATTTGGAGATACTTTGGACATTATCATGTGTTTCAGTTGATTTTGTAATAATAGTTATAATAAATTTAAAAAATAAGTTCTTTCTTCCAATTGGCAAGCCAGTTATGGTATGAATTCCTGTCTGTATTATTATTTCCATCACAAAGGCCAATTGGGTCTCTCCTCTCCTAACTCTGATATCTAGTATCGCACAACAATCGGGAGGGGGGGAGTCACTCTCAGTTGATCTGTGGTGGTCTTCCAGGGAGATCTGAGGCTGCATATGAAGGCGATCCTGATTTTAGATTCACATTTCCCTGTGCCTTCTTCTAGTTTGTTAGATTTTCAACCTTCTTGTGGGTCAGTGGCAAGTTTCCAGGGTTCCATTCCAGAGAGTAGATGTAGCAGATGGCTCTGCAGTTCCTTTGCTCTAACAAAACAACTTACTTTACCATGATCTTTAAATGACCTATAAAAAATTAAAAGAAAGGCATGTTGATTTGTTTTTCTTCTGTTGGTTATTCGAGTGTGTGATATTTTGGGGTTTCTCCCATTTGGTTTTAAGCCTGCGACTTAACTGATGGCTGAACGGTCTGAGAGTTATTTTTTCCCCCCTCCATACACGAAAATTGTGGTTCATGCTGGAAGGTTTACTTTTTAGGTACGTGAAGGGACAATTATGCTTTATCCAACACTTTCTCGGAATTTCGTGATTTCGCCTATCACCACTAGGTGGTGTCATTTTTCAGATTTTCAAATAATATTTGTCCCTCGAATTTCGGGTTCTAAGGCGGAGTTTGTACTTCATCTATATAGGTCTATGTCCCTGATGGGATAGAGTAAGTCTACGGACTTACAATTTAACTTCAACATTTTGTTTCTTTACACTTCACTTGGTTAGAAGACTATCAGGATCACCAGTTTTGTTAAGGACGAGCCGAATCCATTGTTAGCATGCATGGTCAATTTTCGGCTTCTACATTCCTCCCAGTGGTTGTTGGAGTCTTGAATTTCATCGGCTCCTTCAGGGGGTCATAGTTCTGCCCGTATTAGTGAGTATTGAACCCTGACATCAGCTCCTCAGTACTCAGAATATATTCTGTCTATATACAAGGTTTCTGCTGCCTAGTCAGATCGCCAGCAGTGTCTGTGATTATCATATACCTTCAGTAACTGTGGGAGCTCAGTTCCAAGAGTTTCTGGACGTGTGGTAATCTTAACCATCGGTTCAGAAACTCTGCAGGTCCTTGGGTCACAGTTGGTTGTTCAGTTCACATCTTTCTCACTATCATCCACCCAACCTGTAGGGTTTCCGTCTCCTGCAGATCATCAGGATTTGGAACTTAGTTCTAGGGTTATCTGAGTTAGGCTGGTCTGGGGGTAGTGAGAGAGTTGGGCTAGTTCTTCAAAGTTGTTATTCCTGTTAGTTGTTGGGCCTATAAAGACAGGAGATTGGTGTCCAGTCATCGATCTTCCTTGTCTATATCAATGTAGTTCCAGGTTTTTTCCTTCCGTTTCGCATAGGCTTAACATGGGTTCTGCTGTATCACACAAGTTTTCTCATCCCCTTCATTCCATCATATTATGCACACACCATTCCATGGATGACTGGTTACTGCTGGCAACATCTCGTCAATTGTTATGCCATCACATCCTGATTCTCCTTTCATATACAACCCAGGGAAGCTTCTCTTTCGAGACTGTGACTTGCTCCAATTCAATATATACACCTGGAAAAAGTTAAGCACCCCCAAATATATTTCAGGATTGCTTATTGAAAATAAGGTTTAATTTTCATGATGTTGAGCAATGTTCATAATTTCAAAC